CTCTATGTTCATAGTAGAATTACTTACAATAGCTAAGATCTGGAAACAGCCCATCAATAGATGAATAGATTAAAAAACTGGTACATTTACACAATGGAATACTATGCTGCTATAAAAAATAAGGGTATCTTAACCTTTGAGACAGCTTAGAGGGACCTGGAAAGTATTATGCTAAGTGAAATAAGCCAGTCAGAGACAGACATCTATCACATGATCTCACTTATTTGTGGAATCTAATGAGCCAAGTAATCTTACAAATGAAATAGATTCAGAGGTATGAAACCATCCAACAGACTGAGGATTCTCAGGGGGTGATAGATGGGAGGACAGGGAAAAGATCAATCAAAGAACTTATATGTATATCTGCATATCCCATGGACACAGACACTAGTGGGATGAAGGCCTCTGGAAGGGACATGTATGGTGTGGATGGGTTAGTGGGGAGAAAAAAAAGGGACATCTGTAATACTTTCAATAATAAACTTAAAAAATAAACTATACATGTACTTGGAGAAAAAAATCTGAATCAGAAAAATCTTAACAGACCAATAACACGTAAAGAGGTTGAATCAGTAATCAAAAACCTCCAAAGAGGAGCACAGGACCAGAATGCTTGAAGGGTGAATTTTACCAAACATTTAAAGAATAATTTACTGAGATTCTTCTCATTCTCTTCCAAAAAATTTAAGAGTAGAGAACACTGCCAAATTCATTTAATAAGTGCAGCAATACCCTAATACTAAAGTCAGGTAAGGATACTAAACCAAAAGATAACTACAGGCTTTATCCCAGATGAATACAGATGCATATTCTCAATAAAATACCAGCCAATCAAATTCAACAGCACATGAAAAGTCTTATAAATTATGATCAAATGGCATTTATTTTTTGGATGCAAGGATGTTTCCACATACACAAAACAATAAATGCAATATATCATATTAATAGAATGAAAGACAAAAACCCTATGATCACTTCAACAGATATAGTAATTTCAACATTCATTCCTGATAAAAACTGTCAACAGGATGGGAATAGAAAGAACATACCTCAACTTAATAATGGCCCACAGGTAACATTATATTAAACTAGTGGCCTGGTGCAAGGATTCATGCACATTGCAAGGAAATTAATTAGAAGAAATATTTTAATATCGCTATTCGCCCTTTCTCTATAATAGAAGTGTCAACAAAATTCACAATTGACAATGACAGATGGAAACACACGCGCGCGATTGGTGCCAGTGAGAGCTTTATATATATACTAGAGGCCCGGTGCACAAAAATTTGTGCACTCGGGGGAAGGGGGGTCCCTCAGACCGGCCTGTGCCCTCTCGCAGTCTGGGACCCCTCGGGAGATAACGACCTGCTGGCTTAGGCCTGCTCCCAGGTGGCAGAGGGCAGGCCAATCCCTAGGTGCAACCCCTGATCGGGCTCAGAGAAGGGCCGATTGGGGAGTTGGAGCGTCACCCCCTGTCATGCACAGAGCAGGGCAGATTGGGAGGTTGCGATGCCACCCTCAGTCACGCTCAGGGTAGGGCCGATTGGGGGGTTGGGGCACCGCCCCCTGTCACACTCAAGGCAGGGTCGATGGAGAGGTTGTGGCGCCACCCCCTGTCACCCACAGAGCAGGGCCCATCAGGGGGGTTGGGGCTCCATACCCTGTCATGCACAGAGCAGGGTCAATCAGGAGGTTGGGGAGCTCCCCCCTGTCATGCACAGAGCTGGGCCGATCAGGGGGTTGAGGAGCTCCCCCCTGTCACTCACAGAGTAGGGCCAATAGGGGAGTTGGGGCACCGCCCCCTGTCACACTCAGGGCAGGACGGATCAGGGGGTTGGGGCGCCGCCCTCTATCATCCACAGAGCAGGGCCGATCAGGGGGTTGGGGCGCCGCCACTGTCACACTCAGGGCAGGGCAGATGGGGAGGTTATGGCTCTACCCCCCATCACACACAGAGCAGAGCCCGTGGGGGGGGGGGGGTTGGGGCCCCGTCCCCTGTCACACACAGAGCCGCAGGGCAATCAGGGGGTTTGGGTGTTGCCCCCTGTCACGCTGATCCCGGTGCCGGGAGGCCTCTCAGCTTCACTGATCCCAGTGCTGGGAGGCATATTACCCTTTTACTATATAGAAAGGAGGCCTGGTGCATGGGTGGGGCCGGCTGGTTTGCCCTGAAGGGTGTCCTGGATCAGGGTGGGGGTCCCCACTGGGGTGCCTGGCCAGCCTGGGTGAGGGGATGATGGCTGTTTGCAGCTGGTCACACACCCTGGCTGAGGGGCTGAGGGCTGTTTTCAGGCTGGGACTGAAGCTCCCAACCGCTCCTTTTTTTCTTTTTTTTCTTTTTTATTCTGGGCCAGCTTTAGCTCTGAGGCCTTGGCTGCTGAAAACAGGTTTCTGGCCTTTGTTTACTGTCTGTATTTGATACAATGTTGCGGTCTGACTGGCTGAAGCTCCGCTGAGTAAAGCAGGTTTCTGGGGTTTTTTTAGCTTCTTTATTCGCAACATAGTTGCTGAGAGTTGCAGCTGAGAGGCCGGCAAGTCAGGCGGGGAACGTTGGAGTTCTCCGTCACTGAAGAAAGCAAGCCTCCCTGTTCGCATCAGCTTTCTGGCTGCCGGCCGCCATCTTGGCTGCCAGTTAATTTGCATATCTCGGCCCTACTCTGTGAGTGACAGGGGGATTAGCCAATGGGAAGGGTAGCAGTCGTACGCCAATTACCATGTTTCTCTTTTATTAGTGTACATAGCGCATGTGTGAGTCAGCTTAGCCTTTTATATATATAGAATAAACTTGGTTAATTAGACCTGCTTTCTGATGTAGCTAAACTTTTTCCAGCCAAGGGAAGCACCCCAACTTCTCTTTCAGGTAATTGTCAGCAACACAGCAGTAAATATCAACATGAAGCAGATTATTATCGTAGATCATGCAGGGTGAACAAAAGGTAAATTTTTAACTGCAGCAGTGTTTGACTATATTCTGCACAGTGAGAAAACCTGAAGTAATTTTCAAAGTCCACCATTTCTTACTTCTTTTTAGTCGGATCAAGTTTCTAAGCTTTCTAAATCTCCATTTTCTGGCTAATGAAAAGAAAATAGGATTTCACCAGGTCTCCTATCTACCTACACCAGGACTTGTGTGAGGATCAAATGAGATGAGGCATGGGAAAACACTTCACAGACATTTGGTTAAAGTGTGAAATGTTTCTACCTGGCTATAAAGCAAGTCATGTTCCTGGGATGAAGAAACTGCAAGGAGGCTAGTTGCTAGGGAGAAGAAGCTGGGTGTTGCTATGTGATGTCATTACCCATATGGTTGGACACTTAGCATATTAGCCTTTTATATAGATAGACAGTGATAGGTTGGAAATATTTTCTCTTAGATAAGGAACAAGACAAGGGTGCTGACTCTCAGCACTCCTTTTGAACATTAGTACTGGAAGTCTTAACCATAGAGACTCAGGAAAGAATAAAAGGCATTCAAATTTGAAAGGAAGAAATAAAATTTTCTGTTTGGTGAGGACAAGCTCTTGTATACACAAAATTTTAAAGACTGCACAGAAATGTGTTAGAACTAATAAACAAATTCAGTGAAGTTTTAGGATACAAAATCAACAGAAAAATTAGCTACTTTTCTGTACACTTATGCTAGATTATATGAAAAATAAATAATTCAGCATAAAAAACAATAACATACTTAGGAATAAATTTTATTTTATTATTGACAATATTACAGATGTCTCCTATTTTCCCTGCCTTTAGCCCTCTCCACCCAGCCCTTACTCACCCTCCCAGGTCTTCACCACCTTATTGTTTGTGTCCATGGGCTATGCATATCTAATCTAATAAAAGACAAACATGCAAATTGACCATACCTTCACTATGCCTTAAGCCACACCCACCAGCCAATCAGAGCGACTATATGCAAATTAACCCAACCAAGATGGCGGCCGGCAGCCACAGAGCTGGAGCGAGCAGGAGGCTTCGTTGCTCCAGTGATGGAGGAAGCCAAGCTTCCTGCCCATCCTGGCGGGCTCTGAGCTCCACTGAAGGGAACAAAGTTTCAATTACAGAAGGTAAATAAATATCAGAATAAAAATAAAGAATAAAAGGAGAGGCTGGGAGCTTCCTTCGCTGGTAGGCTTGGCCAGCCTGAAAACTGCCCTCAGCCCCTCACCCAGACTGGCCAGGCACCCCAGGGGGGCCACCTACCCTGAAGGGTCTGTGGCCAACCTGCAAATAGCCAGCAGCCACTCACCCAGTCTGGCCAAACCTCCATGGGGTGAAGGTCCCCACTGGGGGGGGTGGGCTTGACCAGCCTGCAAACAGCCATCAGCCCCTCACCCAGACTGGCCAAGCACCACAGTGGGGACCCCCACCCTGAAGGGGGTGTGACTATCCTGCAAACACCCATCAGCCCCTCACCCAGGCTGGCCCGGCACCCCAGCGGTACCCCCATCCTGGTCCAGGACACCCTTCAGGGCAAACCAGCCAGCCCCCACCCATGCACCAGGCCTCTATCCTATATAATAAAAGGGTAATATGCAAACTGACCCTAACAGCAGAACTACTGGGAATGACTGGTCACTATGACACACACTGACCACCGGGGGCAGGCGCTCAATGCAGGAGCTTCCCCCTGGTGGTCAGTGCACTCCCACAGGGGGAGCCCTGCTCAGCCACAAGCCAGGCTGATGGCTGCCAGCACAGGGGTGGTGGTGGGAGCCTCTCCCGCCTTGTCAGCAGCACTAAGGATGTCCTACTGCAGCTTAGACCTGCTCCCCACTGGCAAGTGGACATCCCCCAAGGGCTCCCATTCTGCCAGAGGGAACTCTGATTGCCAGGTTAGGCCCAATCCACCAGGGAGCGGACCTAAGCCAGCAGGTGGTCATCCCCTGAGGGGTCCCAGACTGCGAGAGGGCACAGGCCGGGTTGCCGGACCCCCCCCCCATGAGCGCACAAATTTTTGTTCACCGGGCCTCTAGTCCTATATAATAAAAACTTAATAGGCTGCCGCCGCGCCGCAGCCAGAGCCGATGCCACCTCCTCCGCTGCGGGTCCTGGAGTGCCTGGCATAGCACCAGGGCTCCCACCACATGGACAGCAAGCTCAAGAAGACCATACCAAAGATGCTGCCAAGGCCCCACCTTCAGTCTCCACAGCCGGGCAGCCAGGCTGGAATCAGGATGAGCATCTCAAGCAGAATGGTGGTTTGGCTTGGAGTGATGATGCAGATGGAGGCCGAGAAAGAGAGATCTCTCGAGATTTTGCCAAGCTGTATGAACTGGACGGTGATCTGGAAAGGAAAGAATTCCTGGATGACCTCTTCATTTTTATGCAGAAGAGGGGGACCCCTATCAACTGAATCCCTATCATGGCCAAGCAGATCCTAGACCTGTATATGCTGTACAAGCTGGTGACAGAGAAGGGTGGCCTGGTGAAGATCATCAACAAGAAGATATGGAGGTAGATCACCAAAGGCCTGAACCTGCCCACATCCATCACCAGTGCTGCCTTTACCCTGAGGACCCAGTACATGAAGTACCTCTATGCTTATGAGTGTGAGAAGAAAGCCTTGAGCTTCCCAGCTGAGCTCCAGGCAGCCATTGATGGCAACCTGCGGGAGGGCCGCCGGCCCAGCTACAGCTCTTCCCTCTTTGGCTACTCACCTACTGCCACGGCTGCTGCCACCAGGGCCCCTGCCCTTCTCTCCACACCCAAGATCCGCTTCCCTGTCCTTGGGCTGGGCTCCAGCAGTGGTACCAGTGGCAGCAGCCCTCGGATACCCCCAGCAACTACTCTCAGGAAAGGTGATGGAGTCCCGGTGACAATAGTACCTGTGCCAAATCGTCTGGCTGTGCCCGTAACCTTGACAGGCCAGCAGACTAGCACCCCGATGGCCACGCTGGAGCAGCTGCGGGAACGGCTGGAGTTAGGAGAGCCCCCTGAGAAGAAGGCTTCCAGGCTGTCGGAGGAGGAGCAGCGCCTAGTGCAGCAGGCCTTCCAGCGCAACTTTTTCAGCATGGCCCGGCAGCTACCCATGAAGATCCAGGTCACCGGCAGGCCAGAAGACAGATCAGAAGCCTTGGCTACAGCGTTGAATCTGACCTCGGGCAGCATTGGGAGCATTTATATGTCTGTGGATATCGACAGCACCACCTATGCAGGTGTGCTGTTTGCCCAGAAGCCTGTGGTCCACCTCATCGCAGGGTCTGCTCCCCAGAGCATCAGCAGCAGCAGCAGCAGTTCTCACTGCTCACCAAGTCCTACCTCATCATGGGGCACCCCCAGTGCAGAGCCCTCCACCAGTTGGTCCCTCTGAGGGGCAGGACCCAGCTTCCACTCCCCACTCTTCTGTCGAGAGTGCAGGAAGTTGATGCACAAAATTTACCTCATCTCACGGATCCCATGTCAAATACCAGATGTTGCGAGTTTGGACATGTCCACTTGTCCAGGCTCCATTCAGGTCCTGCTGTACTCGGGGGACAGGGAGAGGCTGGAGGGGCAGACAGAGCAGCGTTGTCCAATCAGAGATTGTCCTGGAGAAATGGGTGGGGTCTGTGGACAGCCAGCTTCCTGGGGATTCCCAGGCCACCTCCCATCCTGGGCACAGTGTATTGACAATCTGTAAACCGACACAAGGCTGGAGGCCCTCCATATCCTTTCTCCTTTAATTTATTTTCCTTCCCCTGCCTTCTGCCATGACCCCAGGGTCACTGGTCCCTTCCCCTGCTCAGTGCCCCAATCTTTAACTCTCATGTGGGTCTGCTAGGAACCAAGCGCATGCCTTCCTATCCCTACCTGCTGAGCATGAGATGGGGCTTTCCTTACCTAACATATTGGTTCCTGGGGCAGGGGTCCCTCCAATTCAAGTCTTGAAGCAGTCCTCAGTTCCCAAGGCCCATTGGACATCTGCTAAGGGAGAGGCAGAGCCTTACAGGGCTGCCCAGGCAGGTCCTAGCACCCACTTCAAACTGGCCCTTTTCTGACCCTCTTGGACCCTATGCTTCCCACTTGCCCTTGTTGGTCAGCTGTGCCAAGAAAAGCCCACTTGTCCCTTGGCTGGTCTTCTCTTGGGGCCATCTTAGAGCCCTAACACCCCCAAGCCTGCTAACATCAGGTTCATTGAAATACCTCAGATTTGTAATTGTTGATGTTTGATTCTTCAGGAAGTATTTGCATCTCTGAAGTCTTTTTATATGTGTTTTGCTGACCTGATTTTTTATTTAAAAATTTTTATTATTATAGCACCAAAGATATGAGAGCAGATCACCCCAAAGCCAAACAAATGATTTGGTACCCCAGCCCCTCTGGCCCTTCCTTGCAACCTTAGTGAGGAAGCGGGAGGCAGGCAGGAGAGATGACTCAGGGATCAGAGCGGCAGGGAGGAGGTGGAGTGGAAGCCTGGCTGGGTCCTGAAACCATACCGGTTCTGAAGATGGTCCTCCATCCATTTCCTGCCATAACAGGGCTAGTCCCAACCCCTACTCCCTACTCTCCAGTGGGGGTAGTATATCTTCCCTTCATTTTATACTCCCACCTCAGGACAGGCAAGCCATGGCCCTTAGAAGATGAGAGAGCTTTATCTTCTCTTGAACCCTGGAGTGGAGCAGGCTTCTCCTGTCTTGTAAGGAAGAGCTGGTTCTCACACAAGGCTCTCCTGGAAATGGATAAGCCCTGTGGTATGTCGTAGACAACACGCACTTGACGTTGCTGGGCTGTAGGAACCCGTACTGGCTCGAGCCCACACCTGGCTAACATTCAGTCCTGTCTAGGAAAGAAAAGAGAATTCCAGAGCTTGAGCACAAAATGTGCTGCAGCTCTGCTGGACCTTGTCTTCTCTCCCCCATCCCCGGCCCTCCACCAGGGCTGACCCTCTTATCAGGCAAGTGCGGGTGTGGGCAGAGAAGGGCATTTGGGACCTGGTGCCCGGGAGGAGCCCAGTTGGCTGGCACTGGGCCCACCTGAAGGTGTTACAGACATTTGCCAGTGTGTTTCTCAGGGGTTTGGTCATGAAGAATGGACTTTTCCCACCCAGAGGACACAGGGATAGCACACTGTCTTTCTGGTCATTGGATTCGATCCCTTAGGCAGCTGGCCCAGCCTCCCCTCTCAGTGAACCCTTGCTGTCCTTAGGACAGCAGCAGGGTCTCAGCCTGAAAGCCTGGGAGTGGAGGCACCAGTAGGTGTCTCTAGGAACAGGGCCTGGGCCATGAGGAACCCTGAAGGCCCCACAGGCAGGCAGCCCGGGCAGCTCTGTCCCCTTGCCCTCCCCATCTTAGGTGTATTCTAGACAGAAAACATGAAAGCACATGGGTAGCCCAGGCAGCGGATAAATACCTCAGACGTCTTTTTGCAGCAAGTGTCTGTATATGTTGTGACTATTTTCTATCTTACATGTTCTTGAATGTTTATATTTCAATAAACCTCTACCTCTTCACACATACACACACACACACACACACACACACACACACACACAAAAAAAAAAAAAAAAAAAAAAACCAACTTAATATGCTAAGTGTCCAGTCATCTGGTTGGTCATTCAACCAATCAAAGCATATGCTAATGATATGCTAAGGTCGCTCAACCACTCCCTATGACGTGCACTGACCACCAGAGGGCAGACAGTCAACTGGTTGACCAATCACTATGATGTCCACTGACCACCAGAGGGAAGATGCTCCGACTGGGAGGTTAGCTTGCTGCTGGGGTCCGGCCAACTGGGACTGAGCAAGATAGGCTGGACACACCCTGGAGCCCTCCCACAGTCCCTCCCCGGCTGGCCAACCTCCTGCGTCCCTCCCCAGCCCTGATCATACACTGGTAGGGCCCTTGGCCTGGCCTGTGCCCTCTCACAATCCAAGCTGAGGTCCCCCCCCCCCAGTGCACAAATTTCGTGCACCAAGCCTCTAGTAGGTATATAAGCTTTTTGGTTTATCTCTTCTGCTCCACCCCCCCCCCCATCCCTACATCGAGATATGTCAGTGTGAAACATGCATCCAGGCTTTGGGTCTTATTTTGTTGATCAATTCGTTTTGTTCATTAGATTCCACAAATAAGTGAGATCATGTGATATTTGTCTTTCTCAGACTGCCTTATTTCACTTAGAGTAATAGTCTCCAGGTTCACCCATGCTGTCTGAACGAGTAAGAGATCCCTCTTTATTACAGCTGCATAGTATTCCATTGTGTAAATGTCCCACGGTGTTTTTATCCATTCATCCACTGCTGGGCACATGAGCTGTTTCCACATCTTAGTAATTGTAAATAATGCTGCTATGAACATAGCAGTGCATATATTGCTTTCAGATTGGTGTTTCAGAGTTTTTAGGATATATATTCTCAGAAGTGGGAGAGCTGGATCAAATGGAAGTTCCATTTTTAAGTTTTTGGGGAAACTCCATACTGTTTCCCTAGTGGCTGCACCAGTCTGCATGCCCACCAGCGCTGAACTAGTGTTCTCTTTGTTCCACATCCCTGCCAGTATTACTTGTCATTTGTTGATTTATTGATGTTAGCTATTCTGACAGGTGTGAGGTGATATCTCATTGTGGTTTTAATCTGTATTTCTCTGATGATTAGTGATTTTGAATACTTTTTCATAAGTTTATTTGCCATTTGTATGTCCTCTTTGGAGAACTCTCTATTCAGGTCCTCTGCACATTTTTAATTTGATTTTTTGTCTTCCTTTTGTAAAGTTGTATGAGTACTTTATATATTTTGGAGATTAACTCTTTATCAGATGTATCATTGCCAAATATCTTCTCTCATACAGCGTGTTCCCTTTTCTTTTTGATGCTAATTATTTTGCTGTGCAGAAGGTTTTCATTTTGATGTAGTCCCATTTGTTTTTTTTTTTCCTTTGTTTCTTTTACCCTAGGAGTCGTATCAACAAAATTTCTGCTACATGAGATGTCTGAGATTTTACTGCCTGCAGTTGCATTTAGGATTTGTATGGTTTTATGGCTTACATTTAAGTATTTTATTCATTTTGAGTTTATGCTTGTGTATGGTATAAGGTGGTGGTCTAGTTTTCTCATTTTACATGTGTCTGTCCAGTTTTCCCAACGCCATTTGTTGAAGAGACTGTCTTTATTCTGTTGTATATTCTTGCATCCTTTGTCAAATATTAATTGATCATAATGGCGTGGGTCAATTTCTGGGGTCTCTGTTCCATTGGTCTCTATGCCTGTTCTTTTGACAGTACCAAGCTCTTTTGAATATAGCAGGTTTGTAGAATACTTTGATACCCAGTATTGTGATCCCTCTAATTTTGTTCTTCTTTCTCAGGATTGCTGCAGCAATTCTGGGTGTTTTATCGTTCCATATACATTTTTGGAGTATTTGTTCTAGTTCTGTGAATTATGCCATTGGTATTTTAATAAGGATTATGTTGAATCTATACATTGCTGTCAGTAGTATGGACATTTTAATGATGTCAATTCTTCTTATCCATGAACCTGGTATATATTTCCATTTGTTTGTATCTTCCTCTGTTTCCTTTTTCAATGTCCTGTAGTTTTCCAAGTACAGTTGTTGACCTCCTTGGTTAAGTTTATTCCTATGTATTTTTTTTTTTTTTTTGTCGCAACGGTAAATGGGATTGTGTTGTGTTTTTTTGTTTGTTTTTATTTTTATTTTTAATTCTCTTTCTGAGAGTTCATTATTGGAATATAAAAATGCCATTGATTTCTGAATGTTTAGTTTGTATACTGCTGTACTGCCAAAATCATTTATTAAATCTAGTAGTTTCCTGGTGGAGTCTTTAGGGTTTTCTATGTACAATATCATGTCATCTGTGAATAATGACAATTTTACCTTATCCTTTCCAATTTAGATGCCTTTTGTCTCTTCTTCTTGTCTGATTCCTGTGGCTTGGACTTCCAGTACTATGTTGAATAAGAGTAGCGAAAGCAGTCATTCTTGCCTTGTTCCTGTTAAGGGAAATGCTTTTAGTTTTTCCCATTAAGTATAATGTTGGCTGTATGCTTGTTATATGTGGCCTTTATTATATTGAGGTACGATTCCTTTTTTCCCACTTTGCTGAGAGTTTTTATCAAAATACTAGAGGCCCAGTGCATGAAATTCATGCACAGGCGGGGGAGGGGTGTCCTTCAGTCTGGCCTCTACCCTCTCCAATCTGGGACCCCTAAGGGGATGTCCGACTGCCAGCACAATCCGGAACCGCTGGGTCCTAACTGCTTGCTTGCCTGTCTGCCTGATTTCCCCTAACCACTTTTGCCTGCCAGCCTGATCACTACCTAACAGCTCCCCTGCTGGCCTGATCAACGCCTAACTGCTCCCCTGTCAGTCTGATTGCCCACAACTGCCCTCCCCTGCTGGCCTGATCGCCCACACTGTCCTCCCCTGCTGGCCTGATCGCCCCCAACTTCTCTCCCTTGCCACGACCTGCCTCCTCCACCAGGACCCACCTCCTCTGCATGAGGCAGAGGAGACTCAGGGACCAGCCTCCTCCGCACTGCGCAGAGCCACAGGACCCCCAGGCCTCACCATGCAGAGCAGCCGCTGGGCCCTGCCTCCACTGTGCATGCTGCCATCTTGTGATGGCCATCTTGTGACGGCCATCTTGTGATGAGGTGAGGGCATGACACCACCTAGGCTATTATTAGTATAGATTGTACTGGATTTTGTTGATTGCTTTTTCTGCATATTAATATGATCATGTGATTTTAATCATTCATCTTGTTTATGTGATGTATCACATTTATAGATTTGCAAATATT